AAGGTCTAATCGCTATTATACAAAAGTACCTAATAATTAATAACTTTCATTATCTTTTATAAACTATAGACAGGGTTATAAACAAAGGAGTAACGATCTATTTCGGCGCCCAGGGCGAACTATCAATTTAGCACTCCACTCTAAAATCAGGCTTATATTTAAATTTCGAACATTTCAAACGGTTATCTAGTGTTAATGCTGATTTAATGATCGCTGCAGCGCACGACGGGGCGTTCCGAAACACGTGCAATTTTGGTTATCAATAGGCTCGCGAGACGCAGGTTGCCGACTCCTGTAGGTAGTAGTGTGTTGCCAGTTACTCGTGTTTAATTGTTTATATAGGCGGCCCCTTATTTAGGGGATCCAAAATTTTAAATTTAGGTTTAGAAGGTGTCGAAATTTAAATCAATGTTATCGAAACTTACCAGAAGTATGTTATAATAAAACTACCGTATTTAGACTTTCAAACAAAACCAACAGTTAAGTAGTTAATAAGTAAAATATATTCTTTTTACACAGTTACATAGCAAATATAAAACATTTGTTATAATTATTAAGTAATGAAATTGAGATTGTTTTATTGTTTTTTTTCGAGCATGTCTTAGTTACACTTGGTTAATTTAGCTGTTTTTATAAAAGTTATTTCCCTTGAATTAAATTTTGGTATTTGGGTTTTCAAATGGGAGATAATTCGTTGCTTAACTTTACATTCGTTCAAATTCTCGCACCTCAGGTTGACCTCTTACATATAAATACAACTTTAAGTTATTATTTGCTTTTGGTTAAAATTATATAGAGCAGAAGTTCCAAACAAAAAAGTTTGGTATGTTTTTTTAAACATTATCCAGTTAAAAAAAACAAATACATCAATAGCCGTTGTAGATTGCAATACTTAATGTTAGTAGACATACAGTGTGAGTGTAACAAATGATTATAAATCATCTTAGTCGCAAATTAATAATCTAATGAATTGTCTTTTTCATATTTTTCACCCTCTCCTAAAGGATTCATATATAACAATTGTAGGCTGGAATCTATAACATGTATAATATTTTATTTTTCTTAAGCGAAAAAAAATCGTTACATAGTCATACAATATAGACATTTTACAATTATAACTAAAAAAAATCAAGCTTGTGAGGTCTGCAGAGAGCCCAACACTACAGGAACTGTGGTGTTTTTTCTTTTTTTTTATCCCGGGAGGGAGGGGGGGGGGGAGCACTTGAAATTTTCTAAGGCGGTAGGGTGGGGGATGGGGGGTGGGGGTGGGGGGCTATGTCGTAAAGTACAAAGTAGACTCGTGGACAATTTTAATAGAATGTGATTACGCTTGCAAACTGGAATTGAAGGAATTAGTACAAACTTCTGTGATGAAGGTGGCAATTAAAAATTAATTTTGATGTCTACTTATAACGTGTATGCAATTGATAATAAATTAATATGTCACTTTTAATTAATTGTTTCTTATACATATGTTTTAGTAATTAATTTGTCTGAAAGTGGGCGTTTTAATAAGTTTTGCCAAGGGCTCTAAATTAAGCTGGCGCCGGCACCCCCACGAAAATTTCAAGAGACCCCAGGAGAAAAATTTGAGATAAAGAGCGGCTTAAATTTGAGCTAAACATTAAAACAAAATAGTTGAATGAAACAGTTGAGATCAGGTTGAGCTAAATGTTTATGTTTAAAAAATAGAGCTCAAGTATTGAGCTAACAAGCTACAACTATTGAGCTAAAATTGTGTCACATTTCGAGTGCAACAAATTTAGCTCAAGTTTGAGTCATACGACTGAGCTTAATACAAGCCAACGGGCAGGGTTAAAATTCAAGCAAAAACAAGTTGAATATCGCCAAGATAAAAAATACCCGCACGATCTAGTCGCCAAATCCTTGGACGAGAGCAAATGAAATTAATCATTTCATGTGAGGCACGTTTTTCTCAAGAAAAATTCCAGTGCAACTGAGTTGGGTGTCTTTAAAAATATTTTTTTCCTCTGGAAAAGTTTTTAATCTGCAAATTTTTCATTTTTTTTTGTGTTAACGATGTTTACTTTTTTGCTGCCTGTGTCCAATTTTTTCCGTCGTCTGTATCAATAATTTTCATCGGTGTATGTTTAATACAGTTGGCTATATATATATCCATAATTTTGTCGGTGTATGTTTAATACAGTTGGCTATATATATATATATATCCATAATTTTTGCCGGTGTGTTTAAAACTGTTGGCTATATATATATTCATAATTTTGTGATGTATGTTTAATACAGTTGGCTCTAAAGATCCATTTTTTTTTCGGTGTATGTTTAATACTGTTGGCTCTATATATCCATAATTTTTTTATGTATGTTTAATACAGTTGGCTCTATATATCCATAATTTTTGTCGGGGCATGTTTAATACTGTTGGCTCTATATATCCATAATTTTGTTGGTGTATGTTTAATACAGTTGGCTATGTATATCCATAATTTTTTAGGTGTATGTTTAATACAGTTGGCTCTATAGATCCATAATTTTTGTCGGGGCATGTTACATTTTAAAAAATTATATTCATAATTTTTTTTTGTTATATGTGTAATATAAAGGACGGCGTGGTCGATTTGTAGAGCATTTGGCTGCCATCCCGAAGGTCTCGAATTCGGATCACGGTTCGGACCTGTGCCCGTAGAACGTCCTTGAGTCCAACCATCTCTGATGGGTATCTAACTTACGTTAGGGAAACAAAAATAGTGCAAGCTACTTCATTTGCAAGAACGGGAAATAGATAATGTTTGAAATAGTTGGCTCCATCGACCATTGTAGTCTAACTAAAATTAAAAAAAAAGTGTATATCCGTTTTTGATTTTTGCTTTATCTCTCGATGTGTATGTTCATGTGTATCACTCCTGCCAATGCCGTGTTAAAAAAATCGTCTTCCCGTCTGTAAAGCGTGTACGATCAAACACGGTCTAGACTCTGGCCCCTATACATCCCACACAAAAATTGTATGGGGAGCCTGCAAATCTGGAGACAGCCGTCGAGTTCATCCATAGATTTTGTCTTTCTTGTTTGATTTCTCCGATATAAATATTATTAAGAACGACGTTTTATTTTGGGGATTGATCATTCAAAAATTAATAGCAGGAGAAGAAATTATATAAGGTCGAAAGTGTATGTATTTTAACAATATGTGAGTGTGGAGGGTACATAATGCCGATATATGTGTCTGTGGGGGTATAATGCCATTATGTGTGTGTATAAAGGGTATATGCCATTATGTGTGTGTATGGGGGTATAATGCCATTATGTGTACGTGGGGGTATAATGCCATTATGTGTATATGTTGTATATAACGGTTGTTAGATAAGCTGTATATAACTAAACACAGATATGATTCTACTAATGTCAACGCTAACCTTATCCCCTAACCCACACTATAATCAAGTCCCCCCATATCCCTAACCCTATCCCTAACCCACACTATAATCAAGTCCCCCCATATCCCTAACCCTATCCCTAACCCACACCACAAACAATGTCCTACCATATCCCTAACCCTAACACAGAGGCGTAGCGACCCTTCCCGGCGCCCGGGGACAAACTTTCAATTTGGTGCCCCCCTCGGGAGCAAATTTTCAATTTGCAACCCCCCCCCTCAAACTTTCGATTTGCACCCCCCTCAAACTATTTTTAATGCAAAAATACAGCTAAAATGACATTTTGATTTGTTATTACAACCCATTTTGGCGACCCCTAAGGTCGGCGCCCGGGGACATATGTACCCCCCCTGCCCCCCATCGCTACGCCTCTGCCCTAACATCTGACCTGAGATTACAATACCACTAACAACACACCACATAAAGTATCACAATAAAGGAAGCATCATTATTATAGGAAAAATTAGGAAACATAGGAAGAGTTCCCCAAAGGTTACACCAATTTTACAGACGACAGCAGCACCATCAACACAACCAACTGAAACACCAACAACAAAAGGCCACTAGGCAGACTTCAGTCGTGGGGCTAATCAATTAAATACCAGCAGACGTGACTCAAAGGGTAATTGACGATTAGACTTTTCCACAACGAACTCAATAGGGGTAAACTTTTAAGACTTTTCCAGGAATTAGTTTACACAACGAACTCAATAGGGGTAAACTTTTAAGACTTTTCCAGGAATTAGTTTACACAACGAACTCAATAGGGGTAAACTTTTAAGACTTTTCCAGGAATTAGTTTACACAACGAACTCAATAGGGGTAAACTTTTAGCATACAGAACCAGGTATATGCCATAGAAAACGGACATATCCGAGATAAACTGTTAGCATACATAACCAGAGATCTGCCGTACAAAACGAGCATATGAGAGATCAACTGTTAGCATACATAACCAGAGATCTGCCGTACAAAACGAGCATATGAGAGATAAACTGTTAGCATACATAACCAGAGATCTGCCGTACAAAACGGACATATGCGAGATCAACTTTTAGCATACATAACCAGGGATATGCCGTACAACACGAGCATATCGAAGATAAACTGTTTGCTTAGAGAGACATTTTTAAAAATAGTGTTTTCAGAAATGTCCACAAGATGGATTATTTAAATAATAGGTTAATAAATAACAGCCCCCCCCCCACACACATATTCAACCCCCTGCATATCTCTTGTTATAAGTTTTTAAAAACCCTAAAGTAACTGATTTTAACTGACCTGTATATCTCTTGTTATAACTTTTAAAAAAACCCCAAAAACCGATTTTAACTGACCTGTATATCTCTTGTTATAACTTTAAAAAACCCCCAAATAACTGATTTTAACTGACCTGTATATCTCTTGTTATAAGTTTAAAAACCCTAAAAACAGCTGACTTTAACTGACTTGTAGATCTCTTGGTACTAGTTAAGAAAAACCCAAAACAACTTTAACTGACCAGCATATAGGCACTATATCTCTTATTATAAGTTTAAAATCCCAAAAACAAGTGGCTTTAACTGAAAGAAAACAACAACAACTGACCTTAAGTGTTTCATATAGCCTGACGATGTTTGGGTGACGTAACTGACCCAGTATCCGAGACTCCCTCTGCAAATTGTTTTTCTGATACTCTTCCTTCAACTTGCGGGTGTCGATTATTTTTATTGCAACCTGAGGAGTGAGCAAATCTATAGTTAGCAAAGTTGGCATGTTTTTATTGCAACCTAAGGAGTGAACAAATCTATAGTTAGCAAAGTTGACATGTTTTTATTGCAACCTAAGGAGTGAACAAATCTATAATTAGCAAAGTTGGCATGTTTTTATTGCAACCTAAGGAGTGAACAAATCTATAATTAGCAACGTTTTTATTGCAACCTAAGGGGTGAGCAAATCTATAATTAGCAAAGTTGGCATGTTTTTATTGCAACCTAAGGAGTGAACAAATCTATAATTAGCAAAGTTGGCATATTTTTATTGCAACCTAAGGAGTGAACAAATCTATAATTAGCAAAGTTTTTATTGCAACCTAAGGAGTGAACAAATCTATAGTTATCTATGGAATAAACAAGGCAACATGGTTAGTACATGGTAGACAACAAACAGGTAGTAGAATGACTTACTACAATGCATTTTTTCTTCAAAATGTATAAATTAGAAATACGTATAGCAATTAACATGGGTACTGTATATGTATCCTACTTATATACGTCTATAGAAGTAGGACACGTGTATTATATATACATATATATAAATATATATATATATATATATATATATATATATATATATATATATATATATATATATATATTATATATATATATATATTTATATGTGTGTGTGCGTGTGCATATATTGTATATTACAAACCCGATATCAACACGGGAACATGCCTTAAAATGTTTCATACAAATCGGCACTGATCCATCAAACACTTCCATGTGAATCGACTTCTAATTAACCTAATGAAAAAAAATCTGGAATAGATGTAAAACAACACAAACACCACCCAACTAGACGTTCACCTCTACTAGCTTTCAATTCAATTTGTGAGAGAAACAACCAAGGTAGTGGTTCTTTAAACCTGGGTTCGATCGAACCCCGGGGGTTCGGTGAGTCAGTCTCAAGGGGTTCGGCGGATGTCAAACGACTCAAAACATTCAGAATCGGATTTTTTGTCAAAGCGGAAGATATAACTATTAGGGAGGGTTCGGTGAATGGGCATATGAAACTGGTGGGGTTCGGTGAATGGGGATATGAAACTGGTGGGGTTCGGTACCTCCAAAAAGATTGAGAGCCACTGATCGTTTAACAAAACACGAACTTATGATTGTTGTATTTCCGCGTATAACGTTGTATAACCATTCTTAAGAACTCCACTCCACACATTGAATTAATGACCACTACAACAACCCCAAAAATTGTCATCTGACTTACATTTATATGCCACATTCTTTAATCAATTTAAAAACCTAGAGACGGTTTCTTTCTGAATAGATAAAAAACATTTATTTAATGTAACAACAAAAATCTGCGCATTTAATCACACACAACACGGGGAAGTAATATTTTACATTGTATCACAAGAGCTCCCCTGATTAATTAATTATCTCAATTAATATTCAACCCCTCCCCTACACCCCCTACTTCCATAGCTAGCTCGCTCAACATACCCCAACCTCCTCGTAAATTAAATTTCCCGATCTAGAAGACGCACCTGAATGAATTATCCATCTAAATGTAGAATCCCTCCACACCGAACAATATTTATCCCCGGACCCCCCCCCCCCACCGATCCCAGGGTGACCGCCCCACACCCCCGGGTCACCGCCCCACAATAGGCTTGACATGTTTTCATTTCTCAAGCTTATGACTCAGATTATCTGTTTTAATTAGTATCGATTACGCCGCTATTCGAATCTGAAAATCGCATCAATCAAGGCTTTCTCCCCCTTGCTTTATGTAATGTTTATTGATCCCATGCCATTAATCCGGGGATTCTATAATTTATTCTAAATTCGATACCTGCTGGAATCCAACAAACGTTAATCAAATCTTTCAGAGAGGCCAAGTTGAGCAGGGAGAAGGGAGTAAGGAGAGGTGGGGGGGGGGGAGGGAGAGGGGAGGTGCGTGTCAAGGAGAAAGAAAGTTTTAATACGGAGACGTGCAATATAAGGAGTAGTGTTTGTGAGAAAGGAACTATACCAAGTTATGGGTACCTAAGGAGTAGGGGACGGTATCAGATATATATATATATATATATATATATATATATATATATATATATATATATATATATATATATATATATATATATATATGTAGATATATAGGATGGCGTGGTCGAAAAGTAGGGCGTTTGAAAGCTAGCCCAAAGGTAACCAGTTCGGATCTCCGTTCTAATTTGTGTCTGAAGGACGTAACTGAGTCCACCCAGTTCTGTTGGGTACCTGGCTTAAGTTGGGGGAGTAAAGGGACTGGGCACAGCCATGACAACACTATTTCAAATGCCGAGCTCTAGAAACATATGAAGTCTACTTCATCTGCGCAATGGATCGCTCTGTGTGTGTATGTTTGTATACACACACACACACATATATATATATATATATATATATATATATATATATATATATATATATATATATATATATATATATATATATATATATGATGCTGTGCTTGGGGAATAGGTGAACATCGGACAACATCAAGAGAGCAGGGAGGTAGTGCTTATGAATGTGAGCAGGATGACCCCAAAGGGAGAGCAGTAGAGCAGTCATCAGTAACAGACCAGTCATCGCTCACCAATCAAAACTGTTCGCGTGTTTGGCTAATGTGGGTTTTTCCAATGAAAATAAAGTGTTGTTTTTTTAAAATCTGTGTTTTTGGGCAGTTGAAATGTACAGAGAAACAATTGCGAAACAATAATGAGAAGCAGAATTGACTCTCGTAAAAAAAAACAACTGACCACAAATGACTATTTTTTTAAACACTTTTCTATAGTTGACAATTTTAAATTCGCAATTTTGTTTTTTTCTGGCCTTCTGTTTTTTTTTTTAAAAGCAGTAGCTACCATGACCTTGAGCGACAATAAACCGCACCTGAATTGTTTAATTGTTGATGGGGTTAAAATATCTGTTCACGTTCATGCCTAATATAACAAGGGACGTAATTTATATGAAAGTTTAACAGGGGAAGTAAGTACTGATGAAATTTTTAACAATGAGATGAGGGTATGGATGTGGTGCCGTAAAAATGCCATATGTAAAAGTAGCTTGTACTTATCAAGTACACTAAAAGCCTTTTAGGCTTTATTTTAGCCTAGGTTTTAGTCTAGGTTTTAGGCCTAGGTTAAGACAGCTGGATATTATGGTGACCATTGGTGTTGTCTTTTAATTTTATAGGTACGTATGGGGTAGTGGGAAAGATTTTCTTTAGAAAAATTAAATTACACGTAAACTACCTTCGTATTATTGATGCATTCATTGATATACACAATCTGAATATCACATACAATCATTGATATACACAATCTGAATATAGCATACAATCATTTAGACACACAATCTGAATACCACTTACAAACTTTGATACACACAATCTGAATATAGCATACAATCATTTAGACACAGAATCTGAACACCACATACAAACTTTGATACACACAATCTGAATATCAGTAAAAGCTCTGACGCCTACGAACAACCTCAGTTTTTTTCCCCACCCAATTCACATTTATATTTTTCTTGATTAAATAACGAATTTGGAAACAGGCGCTTATATTGGCAGCTTAAGAAGCCCATTTACGGTACATCGTTCACATTGTAAGTGAGTGGCTTCTTTTTATAACTTTTGCTGCACATGTAAACAAACTTTTTGTGTGTGTGGTTACTTTAGCTAAACACAATGGTTACCTCGTTTTGTGGGCGGTTGCACATTCCCCCAATTTATGCAGGGTACTGACTAGAACTGGATTGAGAAAATGGTAGCAGTAAGATCCGAACTCAAAGTTCTAATATTGGTGGTCCTACGCTCTGTACCCAAACCACTCGTATAAAGCGTGTTGACTACTGCTCATTCCAAGGACTCGAAAATAATTTGGATATAAATCCCTATCTAAGTTCGGGAAAGCCATATACAGTTTTCTAATAATTTCCTAACCGTATTCTTTTTAACAGTGTCAGTTTAGTTAGGGCTACCCTAAAAGCTAGTTTTATGGTTTATTCAAGGCATAGACGGCCCCTGAGTCCACCCAGCTCTGATGGGTACCTAACTCACGTTAGGGAAAGTAAAAGCGGCTGGGCATAGTACTGACCACTATCTCTTTATAAGCCGATGTCACAGATACAGGTGAACTCTACTCCACTTGACCCATGGACTGTCAGGTTCGAAAAGGAAACTTTACCTTCAAGGCTTAAGGAATGAGCTGAGGCTATTTTTTATCCCTAGGTTAAAATATGTTTACGGTTTAAAAAAAAATAATTTTCTTTAACACGCCTCGGTACCGCTAACGTTAAAGTATCATGCATTGTTTCAGTAGTTAAAAAAAAACCAACAATTAATTTATTAAATCTGAAAAATTACACTGTGATCTATCTGTAGTGTTACCACGGGTTCCGCTGCTAAATACAAGACTGAAATTAAAATATAAAGATTTCTCATCCAGGCCATGTTTTTCCTGGCACGGTGCCAGCATGGCGTCGAGGTGACGTTGTATTCAAGGTTCCCTTCTGACGTCAGACGGGGAGAAAACAAAAGACAAACAAACAAACAAAACAACAAACAACCATCAACCCCCCACAACAAACAAAACATACAATTTTTTTTAAATCCCCCTCCCCATCTCAGCTATTGGGGTGAATAAAAATATCCCCCCACCCCCCTCTAACTTTAACCATTTCCAATATCACGATTTCTTCTTTTATTTTTATTTTATTTTTTTCTCTGCCTGTTTTCTCCGAAGCGAACCCCCATATTGATCCGTTTCTCTTGGGGGAATAAATCGATGCCGTAGCACATCACGGAACGCTGGATAACTCGCGGTTAAGGGAGGGTGTGTGACGTTTCACCACATCCAGTACTATCCACTAAACAACTCCCCCCATCTACTCTAACCCACCTACATCCAGTTACGAGTGTGTGTGTGTGGGGGGGGGGGGGAGTTTGGG